CCGGCAGCACCAGCCGCAGCTGCCAGCTCCCTCCAAGGTGAGCCACATCTCCAGAGCAGAGAGGCTTAACCACTCCTTCCCAAGGACATTTTCATCAGAGCAAGGTCTGCACCGCTCCCCTCGCTCCCTCATTTTTCCCCCTCTGCTTGCTCCAGTTCTGCTTCTTTCCATCTCCCGACAGACTGTCCAGCCCGTGTCCAGCCTTGGAAATCATTACAGGTAGCATCTACCCTATCTCCACTCTATCAGCAGTCTCCATCAGGGGAAATTAAGATAAGGAAGGAAAGAGAGAGCAAGAAGAAAGGCTGAAGAACATCAGCCCAGGCCTGGGAAGGCACCATCCTCGCCACATTTGCAAGGACAGCTCTTCAGAAGAGGAAGATAAGAGCAAATGCAAAGCTTAAAGAAAACCCCAACCTCGCTGCAGCTACATTTTGCCCTCCCCTGCCCTGGGGAAAAGCCGGCAGGGCCGAGCCCAGCCCCATTGCGGGAAGGCAGGATGCACCCGCTGGCTGTGGGTACCGGGTAGGGCAGGCTGGCACAGAAGCTACGGGAGCAAAACCCCACGAGGCTCCCACCCAGCCGGCATCTCATGGAGGCTGGTTGTGAACTCAGCCAGGATTTAACCACCTCCGGGGAGCTGCAGAGCAAGGAGAGATCATTTCTGCTTAGTCATAGCTCTTCCAGGACGCACTCTATAAAGGTTGCATTTTCCATCCTCTCCCTGGCTGTTAAGCTTCATAAACAGTTTATCTTGAAATTAGATGCCAGAGGCAAAATTACATGAATGCAAAGCGTCTCCCTTGCACCATAAGCAGACTAAAACCTGCTGGGGCAGACGAAGGTACCGGCTAGCACGGAAGGGAGACAAAACACAGGACCTATATGATCCCACCACCACCCATCTCTCCAAGGCACCAAACGGGTGCTCAGCCCTGTGATGCCCACGGGTGCGGAGCCGGGCACCCTCACCACCCTCCTCCCCCTCGCTGCTCGAAGCTCGGGTCGGCTAGGAAGGAAAAGAAGCAGAGCAAAGCATGCCGGGATGACTCACAGAGGGCCGTACCAAACTGAGAAAGTCTGCTCGTATCCACCGTCGTAGCCGGGCTCCCAAGAGACGTTGGCTGAGGTCATGGCGACCACAACGTGCACGCTGGTCGGGGCGTGAGGGCTTGTGCCTGCGGGGAGACAGGGAGGGGGCTGAAGGGGAGAAAAACCACACGCTGGCAAAGGCAAGGGGGCTGCTCCCGGCCGTGATTCCAGGGAACTCCTCCTGCACCAAGCAAAGGCCACCTGGAATTTCGCTAGAAATAGCAGCAGGACAGCTGTGTCCGCAGGTGGCCAAAATAACGGAGCAGAAAAAGGCAGCACCACTGGTAAAAACAGGATTTAAAGGAGACACTGCTTTTCACGGGAAGCACCCCCATCTCCTGCCTTGCCCACACGCTGCCTGGGGGACCCTACCCAGGGACGTGCCACCCCCAAGGACCCGTCCCCCGCCCTGGCCATACCTACGACAGTAAGGTGGGTGCTGGCAGTAATGCTCGCGACGACGTTGGTGGCGACGCACTCCCACTCGCCGGATGGTCGTTTTTGCCGAGGGAGCGGATCTGCAGGGTGCCGCCGGGCAGCGTGTTGTGCTTGCTCCTGCTGGGCTTCCCTACCTTGGGCAAGGAGCGGTGGGGGAGCCGGGCAAAGAGAGAAAAAAACGTGACTCAGAAGCGGGTTGCGGGGCAGGGCGAGGCGGCAGCGGGGTCACTAAGCTACCTGCGCGGCCCAGGGGACACCGCCGGCCACCAGCAAGGGATCTGGTCTCTCCGGTCGTGGCAAGGCAGACGGTTGCCCCATTTTCGAGACGACCTGGCGGGGCAACGCAAGAGGCACGCGTCAGGGAGGCTGATGCTCAGCACTCGCACGCAAGCGGAAAAACCCCACGGCACTCGCACGGACACCGAGCCCTGCGCCAGGGCTCAACCTCCAGCATCCAAAGCTGAAACCGCTGCAGAGGAAGGTGCACCGGCCACCCCCAGGAAACACCCTCCCAGGCCAGGGAAGGCACCGCCTGCCCCAGGAGATGCCCAAACTGCCCCTCAGCCAGAGGCAGAGGAGAGGCAGGACCCTTCACGGCAGAGGTTTGGGCAGCAAGGGCCCCACGGGGACGCAGGTGGATGGTGTGCGTGGAGGTGCCCGGGAGCTCTCAAGCCAAGCGGGAAGATGGATCTTGTAACAACTCATGTCTACACCCATCAGCCAAAGTTGCACAAATCCCATCTTGTCCTGAGTCCTCTTCAGTTGTTCTTCACGCAGGGGTCTCTGCCGATCGACACGGGGACCCATGGCTCAGTACCGTGCAGGATGTGCAGAGGAGCAGACAGGCACGTGGGGTGAGCAGTGCCAAGCCCAAGTCTTCAGGAGTCTTTCAAGAGACTGGTCAGTGCTGGTGGGCTGCTGGGGAGCGAGTGAGCTGGCTTCTGCCACTGGGAAACTGAGCCCAGCCCAAGCTGGAGTCGTGGGGGATAAGCCCAGAATCATGACATGAGGAGGACTGCCAGAAGGCACAAGAGGAGTTGAAAAGGAACCTGAATAAGAATGGTGAGGGTAGAAGGAAGAAAAATAAGATGGAGAAAAAGACTAAACGGCCAAGAAGTTTTAGGTAGGTCACTTGCAATCTGTGCAAGTCATGGTCCTCCTCGTGCTGGTAAAAGGAACTCAAAGAGATCCAGCACCTCACACTGCAAGGACTGAGGACGGTGCCCACTGGGTGACACAGGGACCCCGCTCACTCTCGGGAGCTCTAAGAAGGGGACGGGAGGCTTGGAGAGAAGATCCTGACAGGGGGACAACAAACCACCCTGCACAGTGGCTTTCCCATGGGAACAGTGCAGATGGGAAGCAAAGGGAAAGCTGGAGGAGGACTGGAAAGCCCTGGTTGCTCCCAGGCTGTGCCACCACACCGGATCCTACCCTGCTCTACAGAAAGGGACATCATGAAATCATTACGTCCACTCCAGCATCATTAAAACAGCTTCTTCCCAGGGTCTTCAAAGTCATGGGGCAGCAAAGCAGCTGCTCACCGGTCCAGCCCCTTGCTGAAACACATCCGAGAGACCTCCCGGCCATGCTCCGGTGGCACGTCCCCTCCCGCCGCAGGAGGTCTGTAGCCCGAGAACGGCATCGCCGGGGCTGCCACGTCTTGCCGGTCACCACCTCACAGACAGGCAAGGAGGAAGGTGTCCTGCAGGCAGCACTGGCGAGGAAGAGGAGGGGGGCCGGGGCAGCACTCAGCTTTGCGGATGCTGCCGAGACGGTTTCACGGGATTAAAGTACTCGGTGGCCACGAGCCGGGCTTCCCCCACCCACCTGCGGGACAGGACGGCAGTGGCTCAGCCCAAAGCGAAGCAGCTGTACCTGCAGTTTGTTCTTACCGGGACAGAGTGTGGCTTCTCTGTCTGCAATATTCATCAAAAGCCAAAGGCACTGCAGATTTGTCTGGCAGGCCGGGTACCTTTCTCCAGGCGATGATGGGAAAGGGGTCTCCGGCAGCAGCGCAAGGAATCAACAGCTCCCTCCCTGCCTCCTGTCTGTACTCCCAGCCTGGTAGCACCGTGAAATAGGGGGGGTCCTGCAGGAAAGGGAAAAGGCAAGGAGCGTCAAACCCACGCCATCTCCCACCGCGCGCGAGCGGCTCCCTACCACCAAAACCAGCCCTGTTCCAAAACAAATGAATCATCGGGTTGGGTGAGGTTGAGGCATTGCAAGAAAAGCCGCGGCGGAGAGCGTGTGCTAAGGAAGCTCCACGGCACACCAAATTATACACCCCGAGGGAAGTTATCTCCAAAAAGCCGCTGCACTAGAGCATCTTGTTTAAGTAAACAGGAAAAACGCACCCACATCGCATCAGACATCAACCTGATTGCATCGACTCTGCGGACGTGTGTGTCTATGGTACACAAAGCGTTATCATGTGAACCTCAGCAAGACACCATGAATCACTGCTGCTCACAAGCACGGGACTTTTTGTTCAGGGAAGGAAAAGGCAGCAGCTCCAACCCCAGCCGCGACGGGAACTGCACTGGGAGCCCAGCATGCCTCGGGCTCCGCACGCAGCAAGAGCATGCGGAGCCGTCTCTAGAGCTCAAATCATCCATTTATTAAAAATCTTCCATGAACCCAAGCCCAGGTCAGCAGGGCTAAGTGTTTTGTTGGCAAAAAACCCATCCCAGGGACATGTTTCCTCAAACTACCCTGGGCCAGCGCTCCCAAAGCCTGATGTTCATCGTACGGTGAATGAACAGTACGGGCTGTGGCCCAGCCTCTGCTGTTCCCCTTCAAGGATGCTTGTGAGGGCCCACGTTCACCTTTCTCAGCGCAGGTAAGAGAAACAAGGCTCAGAGCAAAAGGGTTTTGCTAAGCTGAGTGGAAAAGCGGGCAAGTTTGGGAGCCCTTCTTGAGCTCTCTTCGTGGAGAAGCTCTCAGAAAAGCAAAGTAAAACCTGAATTTCTGCACAGAATTAACAACCAAATGAGAGGCATGGAAAAACAACCCCGCCTCATCCATCCCCGCCGCACTGCGGGGAACAGGAAGGCAGAATGAGCTACACGCACACTTCAAAATCCACGTTAAAAAAGCCTAACTACAGCGCAAAATGCCTCCGCAAAGCACGCACGCATTCACACCGCCTGGCCCGCGACTCCAGCACCCTGCACAACCCCAGGAGCTCTTCTCAGCACGAGAGGACGCAAACGCACGGCAAATCTGCCGGCCGCAGAGCCAGGATTTTTCCAGGCAAGTTACCTTCAGTACCAGTCGGGCAGGGGGAGACTGGCCCATCGTACCCAGGGCGTTATAAGGCACACAGGTGTAAGTGCCGAGAGCATCTTCGGTTGCCTCCTCTATCCGGATCGACCCGTCTTCCAGCAGGTTCCAGCCAGAATACTGCGGTGGTGAGAAAGAGGGAGCTGACTTATCCTACACCCACCACAGCTTATTATTTTTCCCTTCAGCCAAGCCCAGAGCGGCTGTCACATCCCTGGGAGATGCCCAACTGAAATCCCAGCATCCAAGCCAGCTCCTCAACTGCAGAGAGAGGAAACAGGGGCAAGATCAGCTCATCCAAACACAGCCTTCCTGGAGAGGTTGCCCTGCTCTGTTCGCGCCCAGCGACACGCAGGTTTCTCTCGTAGCTGCTCTCCTCCATACGCACAGTCAGGCTGCTTCAGGTAGCCCAGAAGATTTAACGTCACAATCTATCACACCCTAAGTAAAACTCGTCCTGGTGGCACCAAGGACAAAACTCCATCCATGGGGCTGAGGGCACCAAGGGCCAGGAACCCACAGCAGCAACAGGCTTAAATGGAATTAAAACTTTGGTTCGTTAATATTTAAGCAAAAAATTTAAAATATTGAGTGTTTTCTTTAAATATTTAATGGCTAATATCCTTGCTCAGACTATCAAACTGTGATTACAGGAAGACAGAGACTTGTTAAAAGGGTCTTTTAACCATCAGTTGCCATTGGAAAAAAAAGACAGGGCCATCAGGAGGTCACTTTAGAGGGAAGCAGGCATTAGGTCTGGGAGACGCAGACAGCACGTCTACAGGCGCCCCGGGCTCCACGCAAGAACCCGAATTAACTCTGCCCACAGATGATAAGAAAATGCAGCGTCATCCCACCCACAGGGCTGCTTCTCTCCTCCCGGC